AAGGCAGGTGACGCAAGCCACCCGGCAGGGGAGGTAGAGAACGGAAAGGCCACGCAAAAACCGATGCAAAAGTGTATTCTAACCTCACAGCCCCTGCAAGAGGAGCATGGCGCAGCTCACAAGCAGGTTTCCAGCCAAACAACAGGCACCTACCTGATCACGTACAGTCTGCTTTCAAACAAAACACTATTTGAATGTTTCCCACCACTGACACAACCTCCTGGACTAATGCAGCAAATGACGCAGCACCCAACAACAACAAAAAGCGCTCACGTAAATGAAATGAATAGCAAAACTATGCCCCAGTAAGCGAATGTATTAGCATGGTCATTGACCCAGTTATGCCCCATTATCACGTATCTTGACACGCAATGACAGAGACAGAGGGATTCAAAAATACAGGATACATTTCTGTTGGGTTTTGGTTTGTGTTACCGCAGCCATGGCACCGTGGATTTTCTTTAAAAAGCCCGCCCTTTCTTTCCAGCATCTGACCTGAACGTCAACCTCAGCCTAGGTTGGGCAGCCTTTCAAAGAGAAGAAACCCCCCTCCCTTCTCCCTGTGAAATGAGGGGAGAAGGGGGAAAACAAAAACGGCTGAGTTGGTCTAATGAAAAATATCAGATTTATCCAACGAAACTTGTCTGCCAATGTCCTTAGACCAACATGGCTACAACCTCTACCCATGTTAAATCCTACACACTGGCAGAGGCAGCCTGGCTGCTCAATTTACCCCATGGTCAGATTGATACGCACCATGGGGGTTTTTTGGCTTCTTCCGTGGCGGGGGCTTGGCATATATTGACAACACTGCATAGAAGCGGGACGTTGGGTGCCATGGTCTCCTTGCGGCAAGCCCGGGGGTTAGGTCCACATTGTGACAGTGTTGAGATATCGAGTTTAGACGATGGAGCATATAGGATGGGTTGGATGGGCACAATCCTACCTCAGCCTAGATGACCTCTGGAAGTCCCTTCCAGCCCCACTTCCCCAGGATTCGGCTCATTATGAAAAAGTGTCACCGGGAGACTCGGGCCAGACAACACAGAGGCGCAATCCATGGATCCACCTAAGCCATTTTGCTCCGGATAAAATCATTTGGGGGCTTCCCCTCCTCCAGCTAAAGAAACTGCCTCCCACCAGCACAGATCAGACCTGCCTCCTGGCACGGCCGGAATGGAGATCTCCGCCACCAAGAGCCACGGCAGAGGGCATGCCTGGCACAGGGAAGGTCGCAACACCTGCTCGAGCACGTTTGGGACCCTTCCCTGTGTCACTGGCAGGGTTTGGGGGCTCCAAAGGGCTCCGAGGAGTGTTTGTGGGGGGCTGCACGGTGCCACCCTGCATGTGCACCGCTCTCCTTCCTCCCCAGCTGCTGGTGGCA